AAAGAACAGAAATGGGAAGAAAATATGTCTCCAAATTTTTCTTTTTATTTTTTAATTGTACTTTGAGTTCTTACCTTACAGAAAAATGCAGGGCTGAAAATACATAATACAGATTGTGAAAAATAAAAATGTAGAGAGTGAAAGAAAAAACGGTGATGATTATTGGAAGTTTTGTGGATTTTCTTATGTTTTCTTTTTCTCCAAGAAATGGGTGAGTTGAGTTGATGTTGTGGTGGTTGAGATTTAGGAAAAGAGGACGCTCGCGCCAACTAACAATCACAGTTGGCTTCGACACTTTTAAGCCACGTGATGGAAATTTTGGTGTTAGATTTTTATTTTTATATTTCGTTTAAGGCTGATGACCTTAATTGGTCATCTCACTAAATACAATTATGAAAACACCAATGGTGTTTAGTCATTTTAGTCATACTTTTATTTTCTTATTTACATTTTTTTCAAATATGACATTTCAGTATAATATATATATGATTAGACTTTTTCATATAGTAGTATTAACTATTTACCTTTGAAAAAAGTTTAATAAATAGAGAAAATATTTGGCACGGGTAGTATTACACTTATTTTACATAGAAATGTATTTTTTTATTTAAAATAACACTCGTGCGTAGATATAGAATTGAGAAAAAAAAATCTAAATTTATATTTTAAAAATAATTACAATACTTGAACATAGCATGAAATTTGTTGGTAATAACATTTGAAATAATGTGAACCACATTAACTGCTATAGTTTTGAGAGCTTCTAATAAGTTATGTTTTTCCACCCTGTTAGAATATCATTGTCCCACATTGTTCGTATATTGAAAATAGACACACCTTATAAGTCTAATGGGTCTCTCCTCCTTTTCACCAATTGGTTTTGAAATGGAACTCCACTTGAGTTTCATATGAGTTTTTCCCTTGTCATAGTACGCTTCATGTGAGTGGGCTTGCACTCATTTTCCCGAAAAAAGTTCATATATTACAGTTCAGTAGTTTAATCACCTCTTCATAGCTTGTTAAGTGTGAGGTTACTACTAATGTTTCATAGCTTGTTAAGTGTGAGGTTACTACTAATGTATAAAACTGTATTTTCACTAAAATACATTATTATACTAAAATTTATTTAATTAGTTAGTCTTCACCTGAATCAAATGACATTTCTTACTGTTTGGTGTAGCATTCAAACTAACTCATTGGTTATTACTTATTAGTAATAATTTAGTTAGATGAGACTTCCATCTTCTTTAACTTTAATTTGATACATAGAATGGTAGTTGCACGTGCTCCTTCACATCCTCACCCGTGCTAACAGGCTTTATTTACACTTTGCTTTTAAGTATAGTTGTTTAAGAAAAAAGAAAGATTATCAACAGGTGGCTAGATGATCTAAAAGCTGAAATAAAGCATTCATGGAGGAACTTTGCCAAACNAACTATAACAATCGTCGAATAAAATGATATGATACATAGAACCCTTACAACTGGGCATTAAGCGGCTTTCTATTTTGTAGATAAAAATATCACGGGATTAGGCAAGAACAAACTTTTTTTTTTTCTTTTTCGAATTTTATTCATCTCCACTTCTGTTTGAACTGTCCGTCCCAGGTTGCTTTACAAACTGCCCTCGTACGCGGGGCCTCTGTTCAGCTAATTTCTTTCTGGTCTGATATCTTACCTGAAAGAAAATGAAAATGAACAAAAAAAATAAGAAAAAGAAATTGCCATCAGGTCATTCAAAATGGTAAGAACAAAAACCATTACAGAACTAACAAGAGTACCTCAGTAACATTACTGGTGTTCGTTTTTAAATTTGAAAAGTCACTAGTTGACAAATAATTACCGGGCTTTAGCATCTGTTAGACCTAAGTTCTTCACTTCCCTCAAGAAGTAGATGAATCAAGAATAAAAGACACTGATATTCACGATAGTTGATCACACAGATTATATATATTTCCATGCAGATCTCCTGAATATAGTAGGAAATGCTTACCAAAGTTGATCGAACTTCAGATTATCATTAACACTATAGAAACGAGCAAAGGGAAAGAAAAAACAGTAGAACCAACTGCCAAAAAGTCTTCTGAATGTAAGAAGCACAAAAAACTGGTATTTAAGAGTGTTAAAAAAAAGTAGTGTTAACGGATATGGATTTGATTTGGTTTTGATTGGTTAGTTGTTAGGGTGATTTTGAGATTATATTAAAAAATAATTAAAGTTGATTTGATGTAAAAGTAGGAGAGAAGTGATGTTAAGTAATGATTGGTTAAAATTATGTGAGCGAATGAATAGTGAATTAAAGTTGACATGATGTGTAAGAATGATTGATTGGTATTATTTAATTATATTGATAATATTGAATATATTGAAGTTCGATTAAAGTTTAGTCAAAAGAAGTGATTGAGTTAAAAATGATGGGGGTTTTTTTCCAATCAAATTCATATCCAATCACAGTCAAATTCATATTCAATCACTCGTTCACCAACGAGGTTGATCATTAATCTCTCAACTATACATGACATCTAGATGAGGCAACTAATTGACTTTCTAAAATTTCAATAATTTTTCCATGGAAGTGCCTTAAAATTTCATTCAACTTCATATCAACAACTAATCGAGAGGAGAGAGAGAGAGAGAGAGACCAAATAACGGATAAATATAAGATAAATCAACAATGTGAAGGTCAAACGATAATTAATTTTTATCACCTTCTTCTTAAAGCATCTCTCCTTCCTCTTCTGCCGGAACTTCAACAAGGCAGCCTCCCGCTGACTGAATCTGATCTCGTCCGCTTTATTTCCACTTCCGGTGCCGCTAGCATCCCCACCACTACCGCTTTTCCCAGCTTGCCCGGCATCACTTTCTCCATTATTTCCCACGGCATTATTAATTGCAGTGCAGCTCCCATTCTGTCCATTACTACCGTGATTGCTTCCCGAGCCACTTCTGTTCAGACTACAGTTCACCGTATTATTGTTATTCACATCGACTGGCCCATCTAGTGCCAACTGTTTGACAGATGGCTCTTCGTGATTGGACAAGGGTTGATTATTATTATCCATGTTCTGAAAATGATGGTGATGAGTGTGTGGAAGTCGAAAGGTGGTGGACCCCATGTCGATGTTGCTAATAATTCCGTTCGAGTTTTGATACATGATATGGTCAGTCGAGAGTATTTGCATTTCGCTTGCGTATTCTCGTTTTGCAGCTGCTGCTCCATTACTATTGTCGAGCACGGAACTGCTGCCGGTGATTGCAATGGGAGACTTTGAAGTATTTACGGATGTGTTGTACCTGCATTTTTTGAGAAATTACAAGTCAGAAAAACCGACACAAACTTTAATAGTGGATTGACTAGAACAACACGAGAAGGGGAAAAAAATATCCCAAAAAAATTCAATCTCAGCTCAAATCTAACTCAACTTTAACTCAACCCTCACTATTTTCAATATTACCAATATAAGTAAATAATATCAATCAATCATCCTTGCACATATCACATCTGACTTTAATTCACGATTAATTTCCTCACATAATTTCAATTACCCACCACTTCCAATCACTTTCCTCATAATTTTACATCAAATCAATTTTAATCATCTTATTTTAAATATTATTTTAATATAAATAATTAAAAATCTCAGTCAAACTTAACTCAACCAACTTTTTCAAAATTAACCATGGTTTATTAACTCAACCAACTTTTTCAAAATTAACCATGGTTTACCGAAAAAA